TTCGGGACTTATTTTTAGGTTAGACTATTTAGACCTCATTAGCTTGTGTGCCCAAAAAAAAACTTTGAAATTGTGAGACCTGAGAAAAACCTAGGTATAGTAAAACCTTAGCTTTAAGCCACCTACAGCCTTTAGATTAAGAATTCTATCCAACCAAGCCAAGGCTTGATCAAAACATGAAGAGAACAAAAAAGACACGCGACATAAACTCAGCCGGTCTTGATACGGGCAATGCCTCGAATCCTCGAGAGGCCTAGGCCAACTGGTCTGGTCAAGTACATTGTTACTCTTTCTTATATTATTTTTATTATTTTTGTTTATTTTATTATAATTAAAATTTTTTATTGCATTTTACATAATATTTATCATTTCGGATCGATGTTAGCTCTGCCACTGATATGAGAGCAGATCTGCTCATTTTTCTGAGAGATCTGGCCTCATATCATAATTTGATTAACCCACTCTCTATCACTCACTTTTAAAATCAGTTTGAAGTTCGGATCAGGTTGATTCTCATCCTGATCTACATCGTAAACAGTTTGGTGCCCATCGTGGGGCAGTTCGAGTTTGATCCGAGCTTCGAAATACATGTTTTTGTTTACTATTTTTCACTGGTTTTTTGTCGTCCAAAATATTCCTAAGTTCGACTATAAATAGGACCCAGGTTTCTGCGGCAGCGAAACCCTGTCTGTTTGGAGAGACACAACTTGTGTCACCCAAGAGACACTCCCTGTGTCGCCCAAGAGACACCACCTATGTCACTCATACTCAAAGATCTCTGAAAAGGCCCAAGACCCCATAGTTCAGTCCTTGGACCCTTTCCTTGCTTGTACAAAAAATTTTGTATCAAAATAAAATATTTAAAAATACCAAAAAAATATTTTCTTAGAAAAACCAAAATAGTTTTAACCTTTGCAGGCTTCGATTTTGTTTTATTTTATTTCATCTCTTTAATTCATTGTTTTCATTTTTTCTGAGTAAAAAAAAGACCCAAAATTTTGTTGTTATCAATGGCCCAAGGTTTCTGCGGCTGCGAAACCCTGTCTGTCTAGGGCGACCCTACCTATGTTGCGTGCGAGACACCACCTGTGTCGCTCAGACTCAAAGGTCACGGAAAAATCCTAGGACCCCACAAACCTGTTCTAGGACCTTTTCTCATATAATATGTATTTATTAATAATATTGTATATTATATATGGTACTATATTATGTTGTATATTATATAAGGAAAAAGTTTATATAAGGTTGCAACCTTAAAATGTAGAATTAATGATGCACCTAAAGAATCTATCGAAGTTGTTTTTATGTTAAAAAAACCTTCTAATAGATCATATGGACATTGAGACGTATGATTATGAAAAAAGAAATGGTTTTGCATCCTAGAAATAATGCATCTTGCAATACATTATCTAGACCGTCCATTTTCAAGATTTTCATATGTTAATAGATCTATTTGAATTTAACCATTTTTGGAGTTTAAAATTTTATAATTAGATATGAAAATAGATTTTCAGATAATCCTAATAATTTTTTGCACCAAAATTATATGTTAAGATGAAATTTAGAGGTGGGCCTTGAATAGATTGTTTAAGGTTGCCACCTTATAGAAACCACACCTATCATATAAGGGGAAAGTTTATATAAGGTTGCAACCTTAAAATGTAGAATTACAGGTGCACTTAAAAATTCCATCGGAGAATGTTGTTTCAATGTTGAAAAGCCCTCTAATTAATCATCTCAACATCGAGATATGTGAATATCAAAAAAAAAGATTATGAGTCTCAGAAATAGTGCATCTTGCAACACAATCTAGACCGTCCATTTCCAAGATTTTCATATATTTATATTTGTACTTGATTTTAACCATTTTTGGATTTTAAAATTTTATAATTAGATATTAAAATAGATTTTCAAATAATCCTAAGTTTGTTTACACCAAAATTACATGTTATAATAAAATTTGGAAGTGCGCCTTAATTTGATTGTTTAAGATTACAACGTTATAGAAACCTATATAATGAATATTATATAAAGAGAGAATGCCCCATTTCTTGCTTCATATTTAAGAAACATTTCGTCAGTTCTTAACTACCCACTATCAAAAAGTTATTTTAGTGGTTAAAAATTCTTTTGAATGTTAAGATAGGGGATCATTTTACTCACGACAAGTACAAAAAGCACTCAATAATTGGAGAGAGATTGAGAAAGCACAAGGGAAAAAAAATCCCAGAGGACAAAAAATTGGTCTAGAGAGACACAGCTCTGTTTCCAAAACAAGTAAGAGAGCGAGAGAGTGCCGTTTGATAGTCAAAAAAAATGAAAACACTTGAAATTTAAGCAGAGGGAGACAGAGATGGCCGTTTCATAGTGGAAGAGTAAAAGGATGGGTTTCTATAAGTCAGCCAGATTCATATGTACATGTGCAGCCCCCTTTAAAAGTCATCATAAAGATAGATTATCATCTAAGGCAAGTTTATCATAAATATGAAAAAAATTAAACTTTGAAATGTATATTTTTAAGATATTTTTGGTACCGTCCATATTTCATTTAACCCCATGCGCTTTACACAACATCAATCTTAGAGAAGGAGGTTGAAGAGTCAGCGGGCGCAAGAGCCGGTTGACTCATAAAACATTTTTCCAAAGTTTAGAAACACTCGAAAGTCAAGCACGAGAGTAAATGAACTATTGCCCCATCCATTTCACATTCATCTCCGAGTACCAAAAGATAAGGGGCGCGATTTGTATAGAGCCGAAGCCTTAAACAATCAAAGTAAAGCGCAACCTTCAAATAGTGTCGAGAAATGTGAATTCAATACTGGAAATATTTGTGATAGCATTAAAATATATTTTTATATATAGGTATAAAAGTTTAAGCATAAAAAATAGTGTAGATCGAGCTGATCTATGAAAATCTTGAAAATTCACGATCTAAAAATACGTTACAAGATGTATTATTTCCAAAACTTGAAATCCATTTTTCTCATGTCTATGCGTCATGATGTTAAGATGATCAATTTGAGCATCAAAACAACCTCTTCTAGTGAAATTTTTTAGATGGGCTCTCATTCAATTGTTTAGAGCCATATAAACTTTTTCCAAATAATAAAAGGATGAATTTTCTATAAAGACTAGGCTTTGTGAAATCAAAATAAAGCCTTACCTTTTGGGAAGCACTTTTAGCAACATAAATCTCCACGAATGCTCTAAAATCAATTTCCAACATGGACAATAAAATTTGAAACTAAAAAAATGATACAAATATTACAGATCTTTATACACTTATTTTTAGGGTGAAATGGATGGTCTAGATAATTTGTTACAATACTACACTATATTTAAAGCTTGAAATCTTAATTTTTTTTCACAACCATAGTAACAAGGCGAGATGATTGATTTAAAGATTTTTCCCATGCTTGAATTGTAAAATTCGATGTGTTTATGAGGTGAGGCTTTTCTTATTTTGATAGGGCTTCAGCCTATTAAACCATTTTTTCAAAAAAAATAAAATAAAATAATATAGAGCCGATGCTCTAAATAATCAGATTAGAGCCACCTCAAAAATGTCATTAGAAGATGTTGTTTTAATGCCCAAATATCCTCAAATTGATCATCTCAACATCAAGATGCATGAACATGTGAAAAAAATGGATTTCAAGTTTTGGAAATAGTGCATCTTGGAACACATTTTTGGACCGTAAATTCTAAATATTTTCAAGTTTTTACAGATCTACTAGATCTACACTATTTTTGAAACTTTAAATTTTATAATTAAAGATGACAATATATTTTAAGGTTATATCAAAGATTTCCAGTATTAAAACCACATTTCTCAACACTATTTGAAAGCATACTTTACTTTGATTATTTACAGCCTCGGCTCTATACAAATGGCATCCAAAAACAAATCTCTCTTAGCAAACTAGTGATCCATATTGTATAAGCTTTTATGCTTCCCTTGCAACATAAAACTTATATGCTTCCTCTTATCCTACCTTCCATTCTGAATGGAGGGTTAAGATTGCCCCAATCACATTGTCACCTCTCTACACTATTTTATTTAAATTTTTGTTTATATAAACTATTTTGACACCAAAATTTGTACGTCCAATCTTCTATTTAACTCGTACTTGTGAAAATTATAAAAACAATATTTCAAATAAAATAAAATAACCAAAATACTCCTGAAAGTTTCAATAGGTATTTCGGTAATTATATTTTATCGATAAATTGTTTTTCATATTTTTTATAGGTACGCCTTAATGAGAAGATGGCATGCACCAAATTTCATATCCATACAATTTATATAAAAAAATGAAAAATAAAATACTTTAAAATGTCAGATCTAAAATCAAACGATGAGTGGCTCTCTTGATCAATATAGGACAACTGGATGGTAGGGAAAGCATAGCTCTTATGTATGGGAAGTATTGAAACTATTGTTCGTAAAATCCCCTGATCTAACCGCTAACCGCCTGGTTAGATCAGAATCGGCTATTAGCTGGTTTCGGTTTTGAGCAGTTAGAGTGATCAATCGGTATTTAAAATAAAAAATAAAAAAGCATATAAATTCTAAAAAATAAAAAATTTGATTTGAAATACATTTTTAAATATTCTTTACATTATAGTAAATATTAAAAATTATTTTGGTCATTAATACTCATTTTTATATTTTTCATCTTTTTTAAAAAATTTAAAAATGACCATTAAAAAATATAAAATAGGTTAAAAATCTATTTGTTTTTATTAATTTTCAACTTTGGACTGCATTTTGTTTTAATCATTCTTTATATGCTTTTTCTATTTTAATAAATTCATTTTTATATTTTTATTTTTTTTAACACTATTTTAATGATATGGGATTTATCCGATTAGAGTGGTTAAATCGTCCGATTTACCGGTTTGCCAGGTTAAACCGCTTCCAAGCCAATATCCGATTAACCGTTGCGGTTGGATTTTGGTGATCGAAACCTTTCTCTTATCACTACTCGTATCTGAATTTGCGCCCTAATTCGTACCCCGCTATATTTACGCGAATTTCAAGATTCCAGTGAGAGAGAGAGAGAGAGAGAGAGCGTGTCAGTGCTTCCACTCCTACTAAGATGGATATCCTAACATTTGGAGTGATACTAGGCATCATTCTCATTTTTTTCATCCTCGTCTTAGTCATCACCATCGAAGGGACCTGCAATCGCAGGAGTTAAGACTGTAAAACTCTAACGGTCCTCACAGCACCAGGATCTCGTTTTTAGGGTTAGGGTTTTGGGGAATAAAAACCCGGTTTTCATTCTAAGGTTACGGTTTTGTAACCCTGCAAGAAAGGGAAAATGGCACCAGTTAGGGCAAGCATTGTTGCCTTCATGGTTCTAATTCTGGTTGGACCTTGTATCAGCCATGGCTTCGATGGTCATGGCCATCACCATGACCATCATGGATGCCATCATCATCATCATGATCACAGTCATGACCATCATCACGATCACAGAAATGACGATCACCATGTTAATGACCATAAGAGCTTGCCTGAGCGTAAATTACCAGAAGAATTGGCTGAAGAGGAGGATCTCAAACTGTATGGATTTGGGCTCCACTCGTCTCACGGTGAAGATCACTCTCATAGTGTTCTGCATCTTTCTAAGCTAGGTAAAAATTAATTGTATTTTGTTGAAATCCATATGTAAAGCACCCTTGAATTTGCTTTCATTTAACTCGTACTCGTACTCTTGATGCTTAAATCTTACTAAACAACCTCAAATTCGTTCGAATTTTACTCTTATTATTTTCATTTTACGCTCTTTCTCTCTCTGTGAACTGGTTAAGATTGACTGTGATCTGGATTCTAGAACCCCAAAAGATGCTTTTTAGAGCATACGCCGGTGGTGTGTGATATATGGTACACTACAGTTACATCTACTGTACATTCCCAATGATGGATGCTGGAGATTAATCATAGTTCTCAATCACATCCGTTCAACTAGGTATGTAACTGTCCATCATCGGGAATGGATGGAGGATGCCCCTGTGGATATGGTGAACTTCCGATCTTTATTTCATCTTTAACTAGGAGTGAAGCTTATTTTCTAGTTACCTTGAGGTATAATGCTCATTAAAAGACAAAAAGTTTATATAAGGTGGCACCCTTAATTGTGGAAGTGGGATTGAAGTAAGCTACACCATCCATTTTAATTGGACGGCGGTAGATTTGGTAGAGTCTTAGAAGATATGCCTGATATGACATTGGCTTAAAAACATGTGCCAAATCTACATCTCCAACTAAATACTTCTGCGAGTAAAGTTACCGCACCCTTAAAAGATATGCAAATTTGAATTGCATTGTTGTTTAATTCGTTTTCAAATTGGGATTCTCTTTAAAAGTTCATTATATGGTTTGCCATTTATTCAGAATGTGTGTAGTTTATACTGCCATAATTTTCAAAAAAAGTAATTAAGAACAAGTACAATATGTTAATAAAGTGTCTTGTGAATTAATGATTTGTTTTATTGTGGATGCAGTTAATGTGAACCCAATACTTGTCAGACCCAAATATGATCAGCATACAATTGTTTTAGATCTTTAAAATGTTAATTTTGTAATGCAAAATCAATCAACAAACTAATTTGTTCATAATAGAATAGTGTGGCTTTTATTGATATTTTTTTTGTAAGACTTCTATTGATGATTTAGTGTTTTCTGTAGTAAATTTTGGAATGATTTGGGAGAATTGGGCCTTGTTTAATGTACTTCAAGATCATGTGGAAGATTTTCTTCTGTCCATGAATGATTTGAACAAGTTACAAAGAGAATGGTTGATATTATGAAAAACAAGGTTGTGGAGTGTTATAGGAGCTGTTGCCTGGTTATATGATTCATTGTGCAGGATGCCAAATAAAAGATAAAACAAACGTACAACCAGAGACTTTGTGGAGTGTAACTTATAGCAAAACATGCATCAAATTTAATGTGTAGATGTTTACCATATTTATTCTATTGCTTCTTTTTCTTTCACAATATAGTATCAATATTTTGATATTTTTTGTGTGGTTTAGCACTTATGGTTCTTTTGGTTATTTATGGCCTCTGATCTCTTTGTTTGCATTTTAGAATTTAGGATCCTTTTGTAATCTCTTATAATTTCTTCTTTTAAAGGTATGGAAGTTCATTTATCTTAAAAAGTTATTTTCTTTTCATGGAAAGATGGCATTGATGCTTGAAGATGTTTTCATCTTTGGACAATGTATGAAGTTTATATGTAAATGTGATTCTTTTTGGTATCTTCTCCCTTGTAATTGTCATTATATTTTCTTATAATTACCACGAGTTGGATTTTGATTATGTTGACTTGCTGGATTATGAAGGTCTCTGGGTACACGCAATGGGGTGTTCACTGTTGGTGAGCATGGCTTCACTTATATGCCTAATCATTTTGCCTGTTTTCTTTTGTAAGTACCAGGATACCATCTACTGATTGTGATTTGACTCCATTTTGTGAGCTTCGTTATGTACTTAGCTGGTACATGTTTTGTGAAACTATTGCAGTACAAGGAAAACCATCGGAGATAATTGTTGACTCTTTGGCTGCATTTGGGGTTAGATTCTTCTCTTGTATTAATGATGTGTTTTATTTTGTCTGAGTTCTTATAACTTTGCAGGTCAGCTCTTCTACTTTTATTTCTGTATGAGGTTTATTCTAGTGGGTTTGTTTCCCTTTGTGAATACTACAATCTGGTGATTAAGTTGACTCTATTATGTGGTTCATAGGCGTAAGAAATTATTTTCTTAAAAGATCGATTGAAGATGGAAATTTTAATGAATGGATTTTATAGCTAATCAGAAAATGGTGTTGCTGTTTTTTGGTATATGCTATTAAAATTTATTTCAAATTGAATTTGTGTGGGTGAACTAGTGAGCTATCTTTAGGTAGGTGTTTTCAATTGTAATTAGATCACTGATTTGCATAATATAAGAGTTATAGTCAGTTATCAGATTGCTGAAGTGAATTGCCATATGGGAAAGCTGTCGTGCTTGCTTTACTTCACCATTATTTTTATGCTAATATCCTTGCAAGTACATAACAATAGAGTTTGTTTCCTTGAGCAAGTAGCTGTTGTTAAGTGATGATATGTTGCACCATTTTTTGAAAGTTTCCCTCTAATCAAGTCGATGGATTTTATGGAAGGCTTCTCCTATGTGTTGTATAGTTTAGATACTCTAATGAGACCTTGTTTTTTGTAGCTTTAAGAATTACGATACTAAGAAGATTTAGTTGCTTACCCTGTGAACCCTTTATAGTGACTAGAAAAAATGTAACCTTTTGTAACTTCAGTACATTTCGAGGAGCTTGTTTTACATCTTTTGGTTTTCTTTAGCTAGAGCTTAGTGAACCTACACTTCTCCCTAACTTGTTCTGCACGAAATATGTTTTAGAGTTCTCATCCTCTTGCTACCAATGCAATATAGGTCTATTTGGTTTCTTTCTTCACCGTTTCTTCTTCCTCACATGGTATGGATTTTCAATTTTGCTTTTTTTTTTCTTCTTTTGAGTTATTAAACTGAGTATCTAATGTGATGTTCTGACTTGAGCAAACAGTCATAATGATTTGATGTAGACACTATACCAAAAAAAGAAGAAGGAAAAAACAAAAAAAAAATTGTATGAAGTAAGACATTTATAATTATACAGTTGATCGTATTTCCTTTGGGTTTTCTGTTCTGCAGGCTCATAAATTTTATGTATGTCTTAGATTTTGGCTCTAATGGAACTTTCAATTTACAGGCAGGAGCAATGTTGGGAGATTCTTTTCTTCACCAGTTACCACATGCCCTTGGTATATCCATTATAATTTATGAGATTATAGCTTTTTATAATGCTGCTTTTATTTTTTCTGAGAGAAATGGTGGTTTGCTTTCAAGAAAAAAAATGCTGCTTTTATCTGGAGTGTTTTTGTTTGTAATGATCCAATTTATAATTTAGGAAGGTGTGGATTTGTGATGAAATACATTAAGTAGAAATTGAAGGTGATATGGCTTGCGGAAGGAGATACAAACTCGATTTTCTTTAGGTGGTTTGGTTTAACCTATTTTCTTCTCTCAATATGGCTCATTAAATTAAAACACACACACACACACACACACACATATATATATATATATAACAAATTTGTTTTTTGAACCTTTAAACCTTTTCACATAGAGATTATTTCTATGGAGGTTTCTCTTTATGTATATGCTTAGTTGTCGTATGTTTTTGGGGTTTGCTCCACTCCCTCCATAATCCCCAATGCCTCTTTTTCTCCCCCCACTGCTTAAACATCATGGTTTGTTTGCAACGTTGTGTGCAACTTGATGCATATGTTACACGTGAGATTATCTGATTATTTTTTAAAAGGAGTTCATTTATTGTGTGGTTCTTTCTTTCAGGTGGCAATGGTCACTCTCACTCACCTGATCAGCATATGGACCATGGGCACAATCATGGACGCAAAGAGTCACATTCTCATTCCCTCAATGACCTTTCTGTTGGGCTTTCGGTTTTATGTGAGTGAAATTTTGTTACAGATACTGTTCTGTTGAAATTTCCATTTAACTATACTCATCAAGCACTTCAAAGGAGCATTTTTTACTTTGTGATTGTATTGAGAAGATGGGAAAGCTTTACATGTGACCCCACCCACATATAAAGTATATGTTAACCCCTACTCTCAGCCCACAGATCTGAGTAGATGGCTGGGATGGCTTGAGACAATGTCACAAGTTGGCTCTTGATCCGATGGCTTAGAGCATTTTATTTTTAAATCTTTATTCTATAAATCATATTGTAGTGAAATTTGGGGCATGCATACATTCGACAGGGGCACAAATGATAAAAATAATAAAAAGTATTTTCTTTGATGGAAATTTACCAGAATATCCCTTAATCTTTTGGGGGCATTTTGGTCATTTATTTTCACGAGAAATATTTGTTTATTTTTTCTTGGTGCGCCCCAATAAGAATATGGGACACCCCAAATTTTGCTAAAAAATTCTTTGTATAGAAAAAATTAAAAAGCAAACAGTATTTTGGCGTGACATTGTGACATGACAAATCCTAGCTGTCCGTTCAGATCAAATGGCTAAGTAGTGTGGTCACATATAATTTATATGTGGGTGTGGTTACATAGAAAGTTTTCCCTTAGAAGATAGCCAAGTTTTCCCTTAGAAGATAGCCAACCCATATAGTTGGGATAAGGCTTGGCTCAAGGTTTTAAAAAAGGATCGGTGACCCGGATCGTCCATTCGGAAAACTGGGTTGAAATGGTGGATCAGCGATCTGGACCAGCGGAATAAGCCAGATCCGGCCTTAAAACAGTTTCAAAAAATAATTTAAATTTCTTAAAAATCTAGCTTTTCAGGTTTCCAAAAAAAAATTGGTATTTCATTATATTTTTTTATTTTTAACCAAAAATAGTGAAATATTGTGAAGTGTTTTTTTGTCAAAGAGAGAGAGAGAGAGGTCATTTTGGTCATTCAAAGCTAGAGAGAGAAAGAAGTCATTGTGGTCATTCGAATATAGAGATTAGAGAGAGGTCATTCAAAAGAGAGAGAGAGAGAGAGAGAGAGAGAGAGAGAGAGAGAAAGTTTAGGCTTCTAGAGAAGAACTCTTGCATTCAATAAGCCAGAGAGAGAGAGAGTAAGAATTCAAAGTTTAGGCTTCTAGAGAAGAACTCTTGCATTCAATAAGCCGTGTGGATAGAAAGAGCAGTAAATTATGTCTTCTTGCAAGTTTGTCATTTTCGTACATGGGAAAGAGAATCCAAATACCAGGAAGGTTTACCTTATTAGACTATCATATAGATAGAGGTTTAATCGCACATTGGCCATTTGCTTTAACTGTTGAGAGGTCAAGCCTTATAAAAGGAGGCAATGGATGCATTTTAAACTGGTGATTGCTCCTCTTTTTGTGTTGAGCATGGGCTCATGGACATGAAGTGTGGACCACGATAAAAAAAATTCTTTTAAGAAATCCAAAAGTATTGGGAATAGAAAGAAAACATAGTGAAATAACATAATCAGTAGAGAAAATTGGGAAAAAAGTATTTAAAATAATAACATAACAAGGTGGGGTGGTTTAGGGCAGAATAGGCTGGCCCTGTCCTAACAGAATCAGCCGGTTTTGTCAAAGGATCGGTTGTTTCATGGGGGTAACCGGCTTGTTCCCGATATATAATTCCCACTGGACTGGTCCCACCGATTCCCGATCTGGATCGGGTGATTCTGATCTGGATCAACGATTTATAAAATCTTGGCTCGGATGATGATGATGATTGTGTTTAGAGGAAGATGTTATTTATCTTTCTCTGTCTTTCTACTTGCCTTCCTTATTTTCAAATGCAACTTGGGACTTGTTGAAAATCAAACTCTAGATGTCGATTTGGGGCACCCACCCTGGCCACTATCCATTGCAAACAAAAGGTTATCATAGATACCTTGGTAAGCCTGCAAGATCACCAAAAGTTTTCTCATGTTAAAAGATCATCTAAATCTATCAAGAACCTTGTTGAAATTTTTTGTTAAGATGAAGGAAAAATGGCGTGCCTTTCCACCTTGGATTGAATAACTCTGACATTCTATACTCCCATACGTGGAATTGAGCTATATCAAGTTATTAGCTCTTCTTTTATTTCTAAGTTTGGGTGTCTAAAATATGCTTTGGTTCCATATAACGATCTGAAGATGATGGCTCTTTGCAGTAGGCGCTCTCATTATCATCATCATTAGAGCTTTTTCCCAACTAATTGGGGTCGGCTACATGAATCTTCATCCGCCATTTTTTTAGGATTCATGTAAAAATTTGGCCAAGTTTTACGTTGGCTGCCTACCTAACACAACTCACCTCGTTTACCCGGGGTTGGGATGGGTTAAGGGAGAGTTTAAGGTCCTCACCCTTCTTAGTCCTTGTAGTAAGCACTCTATGACACTGGAATTATCTTAATCATCTAACTTCTCAATTCAATAGTGAAAGATTCAAAGAATAGCAAATGCAAAAGAAAGTCTCTGAAATATATTAACAGCTACACAAGTAGGCACTGGTAATTTACATGGTGAAGATATCAAGCATCACATCACTACCATCTCTAGCATGCATACAACTGGAACACACCATGGTGTATGTAGTGATTTGGAGCTTGCAAAATAAGTGACTTATAATGTGCATCTCACATGTGTCCTAATAATTTTATTCCTTTGTTCTAGTCAAAGTCCATTACCATTGTGACTTAGAATCCTGCTATCCTCACTTTCCGCCTTAATTTTTTTTCCTCTGCTACTTAATGAGTTTGAGCACATGGTGCGTTTTAGAAGCTCGAAAGGCCTAAAACTAGGAAATGAATTCCTATATTTCCTTCAATCATAGACCTTCTAGATTATTCTTTGACCTAGAAACTTGCCATCATCTCTGTCTATTTTATACTTTACATATTTTTTAGAAACAATGTCTTTGGTCTAAATTCTAGAACATACTAGTTAGAAAAAATTATCTTTGTGGTGAATCTTTGATTTCTTATTCATGTATCTGCAGTCTGGTGGTTGCAGCTGGGATAGTGGTCTTTCTTCTTGTTGAAATGGTTGTGAGGTATGTGGAGGATCACTCAGGTAAAGGAGCTCATGTTCACCATCACCACCGTAAGAGCAATTCAAAGTCCAAGATTGATGAGGATCATAATACTGGCATTAACTCTGGACCGAGTGACAAAGAAGAAACCTTCAATGGGAAGGTAGATGACTGTCAGAAGGATAAAAATCAGACTACCCATGAGGCCCACCTTCGTAAGGTACAAATGGGATTGTAACCATAAAAAATAACCTTTGATAGAGTTGTTATTACTGTTGTGGTCAAACGTTGTTTTTTGCTATGCGGTGATGTCTTTTTTGTATAAATCTACGACTTTGTTTTCTTGTTTTTTTATTTTTGTTCTATTGGCTTGATGTTTATAGTGGATTTTTGGTTTTGTTTAAATTTGCCCAAATCTTTAGAATTCATTCCTAAAATTATTGATGACTTATGTAAAGTAGAAACTGATGATTCTTTTTTTCTATTTAATTTCATGAAACCTACTGCTCTGATCGAAAGGATGATTGGTACTTGGTACTCTCTCTCTCTTTCTTTCTCTCTCTCTCTTTCTCTCTCTCTCTCTCTCTCACACACACACACACTCTTTTGTATGTTTCTGAGTTGTATCCAAATTCCACCTGAAATGCTTGACTTATCTGATTATTCCTTTACAAAATTGTGGACTGTTCTGGTTAAGGAGCTTTGTCTCTTTCATCTTATTTTATTTTGTTTTATTTTAATGTGTGAATATATTGGCATCATAGTGGTTAAGTGGTTAAGTCTTTACAAGATTATTGTGCCTGATATTTTTGTGTATTCAATTGGTAGTTGCACTTTGCATTCTAAGTGCGGTTTAGTAGATCATTATATGGGATGTCAAATGTAATCTGTTTTATGAAAGGATCCCATTTTCTGCATTCTGAAAAAGATGCAGCAGGCAATCATTTTGCAAGCAATCAGGTTCTATGGGCATTATTTGTGTTATGTATTCCAAAAAATCTTGTTTTTGTGAGAAAATAGAAATAAATTGCGGTTCAGGCAATTTTTATTTACCACTAAAAGAAAAGATATCTATCACAAAGGAAATGAAAAGTTAGGCATGTTAAGGCAGACATTGACATGTAGTGTTAATCTGGTTATATTTACAAGGTTTTTGATTTGTTCTGCAGAGAGGCACTTCTACTGGAGCTGGTGGTGATAAGAAAGAAGAAACCAATAATCTAGCTATCCCTGACAAAAAGACGGTGCCAGTGAGTCGAAAAGAAGTGGCCACACCCTCCTCTAACATTGTCTTTGGATATCTGAATCTCTTTTCTGATGGTGTTGTGAGTTTTTGTTCTCCAATGAATACCAATCACTTTGCTTTGCTCCTTTTCTTTATGTGAATGCTCTAGACCGTCTTTGTATGTCACCTTGCATGTCCCTCCCTATCCTCCAACCCTTTCTTTTCTCTCTCTCTCTCTCTCTCTCTCTCTCTCTCTCTCCATGATGTATTTGATGCATTCAGATGCAGTTCATTTGATTGTTTCAGCACAACTTTACTGATGGGATGGCTCTAGGAAGTGCTTTTCTACTTTATGGTTCAGTAGGGGGATGGTCTCGAACTCTTTTTCTGCTTGCGCATGAGCTACCACAGGAGGTTCTTTCTAGACTCTGGTTGTTTTTGAGTTTTGCATTTGTTAGTTGAATTAAGTTATAGGAAGCAAATAAATCAGTAAATCTATTTATTTCTTTAGATAATGGTGATTCTGCTCGAATTTTCACCTGTTGGTTGTAATGTGGCCCTTTCTTTCTTTTAGTATGTTCTCCCATCCTTGCATTTGCAATTGAATACTCAAGGATGACAACCATGTTGTTAATAGTAAAAACCAGTAACCGCTTCGGTGGGTGGGTGGGTGGGCGTGGTTCTCTATATGCGGTGCATGTGTGTATGTGATGTACTTTACTGCTTTTTGGAGCTTAAGTGACATTTTTTGAGCTTACATTTCTAACACTGTCAGCTGAATCCTTTCTTTGGCACTGCAAATTATTTCAAAATTTCAACTAGTTCATTGGAGGATTTTGACCAGCCTCATGAAATGTGCTCTTTCTTCCACCACTTTTCTATTAAATGGGTTAATGGCATATGAATGGGTTGAATCTCTATATTTTCATGCTTCAAAGCCTAAAATGCTGACAATGAATGTTGGTCCCCTGTAGCCCTTAGTTGTTTTGATTATATAAAATGATCCAATTGCTTCCAAGCCTAAAATGCTGATAAAGAATGTTGGCTCCCCTGCAGCCCTAAATTGTTTGGAAAGAGTTTATATAGAGCCGAGGCTCTAAACAATCAAATTAGAGCGCACCTCAAAAATTTCATGTTTCGATACTCAAATATTCTCAAATTGATCATCTCAACATCAAGATGCCT